TAGGAACTCCTTCTCGGTTGTGGTGTAGTTCCTTTGCGCATCGTTGAGAGTCTTGGACAAATAGGAAATCACATGTAGCCTACCCTCTTTTCGTTGCCCTAGAACCGACCTGATGGCCTCATCACTTGCATCACACATTAATTCGAACGGTAGCGACCAATCAGGTCCTTGGACAATTGGAGCGGAACACAAGGCTTCTTTCAACCTAAGAAAAGCACTCAAGCAAGATTCATCAAATACAAGATCTTTATCTTGTTGTAGAAGAGATGTGAGGGGCATAGCAATCAAAGAAAAGTCCTTGATGAAGCGGCGATAAAAGCCGGCATGACCAAGGAAAGACCTCACTTCTCTCACATTTGTGGGAGGGGGGAAGCTTCTCAATCACATCCACTTTTGCACCCATCAACTTCGATGCCCGATTGGGAGACCTTATGGCCAAGCACACTACCATTCTCCACCATGAAGTGGCATTTCTCCCAATTGAGCACCAAGTTGGCACTCTCACATCTTTCTAGACAACGAGATAAATTTAAAAGGCACATCTCATATGTACCTCCGCCCACAGAAAAATCATCCATAAAAACCTTCATCTCTTCCTCAATCACGTCACTAAAAATTGACATCATGTATCTTTGGAAGGTAGCCAGAGCGTTAAAAAGACCAAATGGCATCCTACGGTAGGCAAAGGTACTGTAGGGGCAAGTGAAAGTGGTATTTTCTTGATCCTTTGGGTCTACTGGGATTTGGAAGAATCCCGAATAACCATCAAGAAAGCAATAGAATGCATGCTTTGTAAGCCGCTCAAGCATTTGATCGATAAATGGTAATGGAAAATGGTCTTTGGAAGTATTAGCATTCAATTGGCGATAGTCAATACACATACGCCAACCCGTCACAAGGCGGGTTGGGACCAATTGTTGCTTGTCATTTACCATTACCGTCATCCCTCCCTTTTTGGGGACTACTTGAACCGGGGACACCCAATCACTATGAGCGATTGGATAGATGATCCCCGCTTCAAGCAACTTAGAAACTTCCTTCCTTACAACCTCTTGAATTTGAAGGATTAAGTTTCTTTTTCCTTTGCCTACACGGCTTAGCACTCTCCTCCAAATCAATTTTATGCATGCATAGAGAGGGGCTTATACTCTTGAGGTCCTCAAGGGTATAACCCAAAACCTTTCTATGCTTTTTCTAAACATTAAGCAATAGGGAGGTTTGCTCATCCGTGAGGCTTGCATTGACAATGACCGGGAAAGATTCATTTGCATCTAGGAAAGCATACCTCAAACCCGAAGGTAGAGGTTTCAAGTCTACCTTCGGTGCTCCCTTACCATTGGAGACCTATTCCTCTTCCGCTTGGAAGACTTCATTAGTTGGGAGTATCTCTTGGTCGGTGGTTGCTTCCACTTTGTCATCAAGCATCTCCTCATATACTTGCATCTCCTCCTTTTGATCACCTATCTCATTCTCATTTAACAAAACATTCTCAAGTGGATCGTTAGAGGCATGGACATGAGGGTATCGAAATTCATTCATCAAATTTTCAAAAGTATCTACCCTATAGCATTGATTACTTGCGGAAGGTTGTTTCATGACATTGTTCAAATCAAATTCAATAGAGTCATTATCAACCTTCAAAGTCATTTTACATTCTTTAACATTAATGATTGCTTTAGAGGTAGCTAGAAATGTTCTACCCAAAATTATATGAATCCTCTCATCCTCATCCATCTCTAGAACATAAAAGTCCACCGGAAATGTGAACTTACCAACTCTAAGGGGAATGTCCTCAACTTTCCCTATGGGCAATTTAGTGGACCTATCCGCTAGTTGGAGGGTAATGTTAGTAGGTGAAAGCCACTAGTAGAAAAACTTAAATGGGCACCACCAAATACGCACCGGTTTTTAAAAACCGGTACGAAAAACAATTGGCCGGATTGAGGGAAAGAGTTTTCGCACCGGTTCTTACAAAACCGGTGGGAAAAGTTAGTACATCGCACCGGTTCAATTCGAACCGGTGTGAAAAGTCTTGTAAAATAAAAAAAAACCGGTTATAATTCTTTCTTTCTCTTTCCTCCTCGATCTTTCCTCCTCTGTCATCTGCCTCTCTCCACTCTCTCTCTCTCCTCCATTGAAGCGTACTCGACATTCTCCATTGAAGGGGCTTCTGATTTGTAAGTGCCCACCGTCGACCATTGCTGGTTCTTCCTCTAATTGTCGGTGCTAGTGGTGGTGGGTTCCATCCTCTAATTGTCTCAAGCACCACCGGATGTGTTTGCAAGTGCCCACCGTTGACCATTGCTGGTTTTGCCTGATCCGGTCGCACGGACCACCGTCCTTGTGCTCCACCACCACCGTCCAACAGCTGGCCACCAGGTTCATTGTTAACTTATATTTATTTAACTTCTTACCTCAATTTCGTTTTCTTCTTGCTAGGGCTACAATTTTGATTGCAATTTTTAGGTCAAAATTGAGGCAATTTCATTGTTATTGTTGTTGTTTTCAAATTATTATAGGCTATTAGTTCTGAAATATATTGGCATTTTCTAGGGTTTTGTTAATTTAGATTTTTCAATATTATTTTTATTAGCCTCTAATTTTTTGGAATTTCTTTGTTTTGTTTTGACTAACATTTAATTGTTGATGTTATAATTTTCTGGAATTTCGTTGTTTTGTTTTGACTAAAGCTTATGCTCCTCATTTTTCAGATAAGACTTGAAGAAAGGCATTCATGTTGACAACCTAACTGAGTTAGAGGTCACTAGTCCTCGAGATGTTATGCAACAACTTCTTCAGGTATTGATCAACCTAACTAAACACATACTCAACCTACAGAAGACCTTGATTAGATTGTACAAGCATAATTAAGTTTGCATGGTGATAGATAATCTTTTGTTCTTTGCTAAAGTCTAAAGTTTAGGTTCGGTTTTGGTGAGAGCATGGTTTGTTAAGGAGCCAATCTCAAGTATTCTCAACCCTTGACATGATTTTTGACCTCTTAAAATATGCCTCTTTACTAGGGGCCTCCTGAATGAGTTACAACAACAAACTTTACAAATATCTCGTGACAAGGTTGCAAATTAACTAGGAGCCTCTAGGATGACTAGCAATAATACGTATCAACTAGTAAAATTCTGTGATGATTTAACTTGTCATCTTCAAATATGAACTCGTGAATGGTAAATATGAAAATCTCGGAATATGTTTCAAAGTCTCTAAGGTGACTGATATTTCAATCGATGCCTGTTTTTTACGAATTCTATATACAAGTGCCTAATGAAGGAATGTTAATTGTTGTCAGGGTGCTGCAAACAGAAAGGTGGCTGCCACTAACATGAATAGAGCAAGTAGTCGTTCTCACAGTGTATTCACCTGTGTTATTGAGAGTATTGTAAGTATTTTCCCTCTAAGTCTAGTATGTGTAAAAAAAAACCTGCTCTTTTATTGTGCAGAATTTTCAAAGTTTGAAATTTAAGTGCTTAATGAATGGTGGTAAAACTGCAGTGGGAATCCTAAGGTGTAACACATAATCACTTTGCTCGACTAAATCTTATAGATTTAACTGGCTCTGAAAGGTAAAATCATAAATTGCAACTCGTTGCTAGTACTAGACTAATACAAAAGAAAGAAAATAGAAAGAGAGAAATTATTGTTCTAGAATCTAGTCTTCTTGTTGAGTGTTTTACTGCTATCTATTTCAAGTCTTAGCCTCACCAAGATGATCATTACAGGCAAAAGAGTTCTGGTGCAGAAGGTGACCGTCTTAAAGAAGCCACAAATATCAATAAGTCACTGTCAACTTTAGGTCTGTTTTTCCTTCTTTCAATTAAAACTATATAGCAGTAGCTCACAGTAAAGAATTTATCTCTTGATTGTCCTTACTTTTTATAATGCTTTAGACTCGCGATAATGAACCTCGTGAGCATATCCAATGGAAAATCTCATCACGTGCCATATCGAGATTCAAAATTAACCTTTTTGCTTCAGGTATTTTCTAACACAATTTTTTGCTCATTAATCTGCCAAGGAATCCTATTTGCAAGTCTGACTTGAGCTGTACTTTGGAATTCAACTCACTTGGAGGGAATGCAAAAACCACTATAATTTCTAATATTAGTCCATCCAACTGGTTAGTGCTTCCTGCATCCCATTTCTTTTTAATCGTCACTTTCATCTATAATGTAATGGGAATCTAAACCAGGCAAAGTGTTCAGTTTGTATCTCATACACATGGTAGTGTTGATTTAGCAATCTCGAATAATTCTCTTCTATTTTGTGGTGATGGCAGAGTTTATAATTTTGCTTGATACATAGTATTTCCTGTTTTTCTTTATCTTGAGTTCCAAATATATAAGGTAGATTTTTCTATGTTTAGAACTTTATTCCGTGATATAACTTTTCGGCTTCTTGCAGCTGCTCACTGGAGACTCTTAGCACCCTGAAGTTTCAGCATGCTAAATTTATAAAGAACAATGTATGTTGTTAGGAAATCTGTACTACTTTGTGTTTGGCTAAGTTGGTTTTCTTTAGATATTTGCCTTTAAGTACCATTCTCTCAAAGAATATTAACTGGTTAGCTTCATGTTCATTAATTATAATATTTATATCCATTTGTTCAACCTATCAGGCCGTTGTAAACGAAGATGCTTCTGGTGATGTCCTTGCCATGAGAATGCAAATTCAGCAATTGAAGGTATCTCTATCTTATATCATCCTAAGAACTAATACAATAGAGAATTTCTTCTAAGAGAAGCATAAGATTATATTAATAGACACATATTTCATATGTTGTGTAAAAATGCAAAAGTCTTGTTGCCAAACAATCTCAATTCTCACTTGAATTTGTACTAATCTTTTTATTTTTAGTACATTAGTATAATTTCTGTCTTCATGTTTCAAATATTTTTCTGAAGAAAATAGTTAAGCTGTTGTTGGATTGGTGTTGGATATCATAAAGAAGTTAAATTATATGAACCTTGTCTGTACTCATCTGATTTATCATGACGTTGGGGGTTTCGGGTGGGGAAAGGGATGGGAGTTAGGGTGGTTTGGGGTTGGGGAATTCAAGTTTTGGGCGGTTTCGTTGGTGGGGCTGGGGCGGGGGATCTATTGCGCTCATGTGGCTCTGGAAGGAGGGTGGTTTCGTTGGTGGTGCAGGGGGAGGGGGTGGCTGTCGGGGCTGGGTTTGGGAATGGCTGTCGAGCTAGGTGGGGAATTGTTTAATTAATTTTTTTTATTTTAGGGTTTTTGAATTTAATTAGATAATTGAATTTATTTTAGATTTTGGGGTTTCATTGTTGTATTATCGAAGTTAATATGTTGGATTTTAGGGATTTTTGGGTCAAATACCTAGCGACAAACTCCTATGTTCCTTCACTGGAACGCAGTAAAGAGATAGAGTGCAGTGTGTGCTTAGAACGTGTGCTCGCTAAGACAGCAGCCTCTGAACGGAAGTTTGGTTTGCTATCAGAATCTGACCACCCATTTTGTATAACTTGCATCAGATTTTGGCGTAACAGCTCACCAACCTCTGGAATGGATGTTAATTCCACATTGAGGGCTTGTCCTATATGTCGTAACAGCTACAGTGGAATCACAGAAATCGCAGCCTCTTTCTCCTTATACTGCGTAAGTTATATAATCAAATTTATCTGGCTACAGTGGAATCAAAGTGTAGTATGTTTTAATAGCAAGTGAATAAACTAGATTACCATAGGTAATTTTCTCATATGCATGCATCATTCTCTCACATTTACTCAATTGATTCAGTCAAGATGCCCTTTGTATTTTGGCTTCATTTAACCACAACATAGAAATACCTTTTTACTTGAATTTTTTATTCTATGGATCATAATTTAGTCAAGTCATTTAGCTAGTCAGTAGCTGGCTCTCATCTTTACATAGCATTTGAGATTCCCTTTTCAACTCATAAATTATTTGGGAAAATAGCTGATAAAAAAATTGGTTATCTTCTCTTTTCCTTGCAGATATGAAGACTTGAAGCCCCCTACTTCGCCAACCCCAACAACTCCTAATTCATTGGCCACTTCCATGGCCTCGGATGGTGCTGAATCTCAGACAGCTAGCTTGTCAAATAATGGTCCAGTTGAATATATTGAAGCATAAGATGCAGGGAATGAGCAGACTTCCGCACAGCCAAAGCCAAGACCATTTCACCATATACAATGTAAGTCAGTCAACATTCAATCTTTCTTTCTTTTTTTTCCCGAATATTTTCTGTTTACCATTTCAATGGATAAGAGGTTTCTCATCTTGCTGGAATACTAAACTGAATATGCACACGTATAGTTGTATTGTCCTGAGAGCAGAATTCCAGTCTTTCTTTTTGGAAATGGTGGTGGTTGCTCAACTTATTCGACAAATTGAAAGATTATTTAAGTGTGTCTATAGAATTAGCCTGATTGTAACTCATTGAGGCTAGCTTCTAACTAGTTAAAGACATTTTCATTGTAGTATAATTATCCGGTAATCTGGTATAGATGAATACTTTGTATTAGTATATTGTCTTTATTTTAAGCATCTATATATAGTTCTCTGTTACATCTGAAAAGCCGAAGATTTTTTTTTTTCAAGTAAAAGTTATAATTTCTATCAGATTGTGAGATACTAAAATGTGTTTGTTTTAATTACATATTAAAGCCAAAGTGATCTGTTGTGTATAGTCCATGAGATCATTTCAGACTTAAGGGGAGCTTAATATTTTATCTCAAATTTTGTATTGCTTTCAAACATAAATGATGAACGATCTCCTTAATTTTGTATTGTCGTCATCCCTCTTTAATGTTTACTTAGTTAATTACTCGTTTACAGGCTGTTCTGACTTCTGGTTTGTTCTGACTTTTGGGATTCATTGGTTTGTTCTGACTTCTGGGATTCATTCTCCTTTTTGCTCTCTTGTGAGCAACTGTACATCGACATCTCAAGTTCTGAATTTAATTCATATTTTGAGGCATAAGTTCAGTGACATATTAACTGTGTACATCGGATATTATAACTTTGAAAAGTTTTTCTTCATGTCTGATGTAGATGTGAGTTTTTCAGCAATATATCTGTCTTCTTGGTCAGCTTAAACTTTTATGAAAGTTGTAATGGTGATTTTACTTTTTCAGGAGTAAAGGTCGCTGCACTCGACTAATGCTATGATCGGAATGCTTCTAATGCCATCTTAGTCTGCCTGAGAGCCTTTTGCATGTCCATGTTGTTTGTGCTTATGTAACATTGTATGTTATTTACTTTTTGACAAGAATTGTAATATTACATGCTTTTATAATGAAAATATGTAACTTTATATATATGTTAGTGTTTATATATCAATTTAAGTGAAAAAAATGCAAAACAAAAATTTATTTTTTATTTTTTTGGGGCACTTTTGGCACCGGTTTTGGAACAGAACCGGTGCTAAAAGTTTTTAAAATTTTTTTTGGGACTTTTGGCACTGGTTCAAAGCAAAAACCGGTGCAAAAGGGAGGTTTTTTGCACCGGTGCTCACCCAGAACCGGTGCGAAAAGTCTGATTTCGGTGCGAAATCCATGGGGTTTTAGCACCCCTCAAATCAAGACCGGTTCAATACCGGTGCGAAATGGGGGGTTTGAATCGGTGCGGATTACATGTTTTCGCCTAAGGCTTCCCACATTGAGCTTTTGTTAGACCGAGAAGGGCATAAGACTTACACTAGTGCCTAGATGGCACAACGCCTGTCCTAAGTGAATCTCATTAATGGAACAAGGAATGGAAAAACTACCGGGATCTTGCAATTTTGTTGGAAGCTTGCTAGAGAGAATAACACTATAATTTGCGGTCAAGTTTACGGTTTCAACTTCTCTTTTCCCATTCAATAGGTCTTTTAAGAACTTAGAGTAGTGGGGCATCTCCTTCATAGCATCCACAAAAGGTATCGAAACATGCAAACCTTTGACCACTTCTAAGATCTTTCCAAATTAGGCATCCAGCCTAGACCTAGCAAACCTTTGGGGAAATGGCAATTTCTCATTCCTAGGTTGTCGATTTAGGGGCAAAAGTGTTTGATCTTTGTCACTCACTTTTGTTGGCTCCTTCTCTTTTTGCTTCTCACCCCTCTCATTTTCTTTTTCTAGGACCTCACTCTCTTTAGGTGGCTCATCCTCATCTTCTAGTTCTATCCTCACATTGGAACTCTTCTCATCATTTGACTCACTCTCAAGGACTTTCCCGCTCCTAGTAGTGATAGCATACATAGGTTTCGGGTTGACACCTTGACTAGGAAAAGAGGAAGAGGAAGAAGGGGAGGATGAAGAACTAGGTTGGGCTATCTGAGAGATTTGGGTCTCTAGCATTTTCATATGCGCCTTGATTTGCTTCTTTTCCTTCTCTTGGCCTTTGTTAAAGCTCTCTTGATTCTTAATGAATGCTTGAAGCACGCCCATCATAGAATCCGGAGCGGCCTCAACTTGAGGAGGAGGTGTGTTGGAAATTTGGGCTTGCGACCTTATTTGTTCAAAATAGGGAGGTCTATTTTGAGGCCTTCCATTTCCGGAACCCTAATTGGAATTTAAACGTTGTTGGTTGTTGGAATAGTGTTGTTGGTTTTGATTCCAATTGGGCCTTTGGTTTAAGTAACTTCTTCCATTATAATTGGAAGAGTTTCCTCTACCTTGACCTTGGTTATCATAACCACCACCACTTTGATTCCAACCTTGGTTTTGATTCCAACCACGGTTTTGGTTTTGATTCTAATTAGGCCGCATTCTAACATTTCCCTCACGGGGCACAAAATTCATGGCATTAACATCTTCAACATCATCATCATTTTCATGGGGAGTGGGACCTTCACTTATGGACATACATTGTTGAGAATTATGATCATAGTTTCCACATATATCACAAAACATACAACCGGGAGGCATAGCATTGTAATTAGAAGGAGAAGAAGTAAAGGGGCTCATACCATGGCCTCCCTTGGTGGAAGGGGAGGAACTTTGAGAATTTGTCTTCATAAAGTCTTCCATTTGTTTAGCCATTTTGGCCATTTGGTTCGAAAGGTTGGTGATTGCATTTGTTTGCTCTATGGATTGCACCATACCTTTGCTAGAAGTGGCTCCCCTCTCACCTTCGTACCAATCCTCATAATTGCGCACAACATCTTCTATGATACTCTCCACTTCATCTTCCCTTTTGTTCATGATTGGGCCTCCGGCTCTGGCATCAAGGCTAGTCTTGCTTTGAGGGGAGAGTCCTCCATAGAATGTTTGGAGAGCTTGCCAATTAGGAATCCCATGGTGTGGGCATTGCCTTTGTAACTCTTTGAATCTCTCCCATGCCTCACAAAGAGACTCTCCACCTCTTTGGCGGAAACTTTATATCTTTGAGCGAGCCTCAGCGGTTTTCTTGTGATTGTAAAACCTTCCTAGGAACGCCGTAGTCACCTCATTCCAAGTCGTGAGGGAACCGGGAGGAACATCCTTGTTCAACCAATGTTCCGTCGCTCCCATGAGTGAGAACGGGAATATCTTCAATCTTATGTACTCTTGGGAGACTCCGTTGATCTTGATAGTGTCAGAATACTTGAGAAACTCTTTGAGATGCTCATGGGGATTCTCAAATTTCCCACCGGTAAACTGCCTCTTCTCTATCATTGAAATGAAATTAGGTTTTATCTCGAAATTGTTTGCTTGAGTGGTGGGGGCTAAGATCCCACTTTGAGAGGCATATGGTTCGGGTGCTCCAAGTTGCTTTAGTGACCTTTGATCACCCATGTTTCCTTGATCACCCATACTTTGTTGATTATGGTTATTAGCAAAAGGGTTGGGAATTGAGCCTGTAGATGGTTCACTCTCCTCACTTGAAGTAGGTGAAGATGGGGAAGGGGAACTTCTCACTTCCTCTTGAAGTGGGTCTTCACCTCTCTCCCTTACTTGTCTCCTCAATTGGGCCGGAGTGCGCTCTAGCTCGAGGTCTATGGACACCAAAGGCTTAGAGCAATTATGCCTCCTGTGCATATACAAAGCTAAGCAGAAAGTGAGCTCTGACAAGATATGGAAAAACAAAAGAAAGGAACAGATGAACTAGTCTCAACAAGAAAATAAACACACAATGGAAACCGTCTCCCCGGCAACGGCACCAATTTGACAGGCGATATTTTAGGTCGTTACTAAGATACCTCTTTCAATGATATTTGTAGTCCTAAACATGCAACTAAACGAGTATAGAGGCAAGTCAAGGGTCGAACAAAAGGAAACGATTAAGCACCGCTATTTATCTCCTAATGTCAATCTAGTTCGGTCAAGAAATATGGTGGGTAAAGTAATGACTAAAGGGAATGAAATAACAATTAAAACAAGCACTATGGGGAAGGATCAAACATGCTATGAACTCAACAATGCTAGGCATCGGGAAATAGGTTTATATGCAAACCTAGCGACTCGTACAAGGCAATATCAAGAATACCCTCTAATCACCTATCGGGATTAAGAGCTTTCCTAGCTAGCATACACTTAAACTATCGTCGTATACAAACTAAGGTCATGAAATAATCATTCACCTAATGACTATTCCTAAACCACACTATCGTCATGATTTAGTTCAAGTCACTCAACCACAACATGCATATGGCCATAAACATGGACTGGCCAATAAGTAAAAGCACAAGGAAGATTTAATCACAAATATTCCAAATTAACCTAGCCTAACATACATCAAACTCAAAGCATACCTTCACCAAACCCCTAGCAACAAGAAACTACTTACTATCCATAACTACAACTACAATCATGCTAAGCAACATTATAACCAATGAAATAGTAAGAAAGACAAGGTTTTTATCAACTAAACTAACAAAGGTAGAAACTTTAATCATAAAAACAAGAGAATATAGAGAAATATACCAAAACCTTCATCAAAATCCAAGTAAAGAACCATACATCACCCACGCTCCAAGCTTGACCATACACCAATATTGCAAAATACTTCTTCAAAAACTAAGAGCAAAACTAGTGTTGATGGGCAATGAAATTACACTAAAAACTATCAAGATTCTTCAATACAAAAGTGGCTAAAACAATAACCTAGAAAAATTCCTCAAAAGCTCTCATACAAGGTTTCTATGCTAAAGTATCAAAATGATAGAATGTTGTTGAATGTTAGCCATTTTTCCTCTCTCCTCTTATTTGGACTGAATTTGGGATTTGAATTCGCAGCAGACAGGCGCTCCCGCGCCCAACAAAGGCGCGGCCGTGCGTTAAATGATGGTGTGGCCGCTCCTGAAAATGCATGCCCGCTCCAAAGTTGGTATTTAATGGTTGGTCCAGCTCATCAGCGCGCCCGCGCTCAAGGGAGGCGCGCCCGCGCATCTAGGTGGCGCGCCC